CTTTTATTTCGTTCAAGAAAATCATGTCATTTGATGAAACAACACTATTGTTTTAAATAGTATTTTTTTAAGTTTCTTTCTAAATTTAGTAATTCGATTTGTTTAATTTGGATTTTCTTGGATTTTTTATTTTTTCTGTTTAGATTATTATAACATTCTGTTAAAAATTTAAGAGTAATTACCACTGATTTACTCTCTATATTATATCAATATCTATCGCATATCGAATGTTGTTGCATTGTTTCAATATCTATCAGCAAATTATCCAACATACATTAAGTAAAAGATATATGACTATTATTTGGTGTTTGCTAGGTATGTTATAATATACTATGAATACTATAAGGATATATTATATAAGCGTAAATCGTAAGAATATCGCTGGAGTCATTGGCAATTGCCGCGTGCCGCTCGATCATCAGGTTAAGCAACACTTTAACGGAGTCAGGAAATGAATGGTAACCGGTGATATACCGCTTGGAATCGAAACTATCGAGGGGAGGATTCACGAAAGTTTAGAGTGTGTGTTGACAATCTTCGATATCTAATGATTTATGAGATGTGAGAAAATTAGGAATTATGAGAAAAAATATTTTTTAAATATTATGATTTTCTCATTTTTCACCTTTGTACAATAATTCTCAGTATTTGATTACTATCAATATTTAAGTTCAGTGATTTTATTATCAGTATTCATCAAAAATTAACCACTGGCCAAAAAATTACTGAATTACTGGTAATATTTAATCACTAATAATTTTTCAGTATTTCTTAGTATGATATTTCTAAGTAAGTATAGGTATAGTATAATAGTATAAAGTAGGTGAGCTATAATGGCGACGTCTGCCGCTGTATGTTTGTATTAGGTCAAACTGAACGAAAAGGTTCCCTACCATTTTCCAAATACTCATGTAAATATTTAGTTATTAATCAAAGAAAATTGATACATTATCTTGCACAACTGTGTACCGATTTTCTTTCATTAATAACTAATTATTCACATTTACATTTATTCGGTTATTTAGAAAATAGTAGAGAATTTTTTTGTTCAGTTTAACCTAATATACAAGCATACATCGACGTCACCATCATAGCTCATCTAACACGTGATCATTCACAAATCTTTTTTAATATCTTAAAATTTTACGTGGTTTTTCGCAAAATGGTAGAAAAATTTTTTGTTTAGTTTGACCTAATCCACATATACCGCAGCTCGTTTTACTGGACGTCCTATATATGCACAGGAATATATATATATATATATATATATATATATATATATATATATATATATATATATACGCAGATGTTACCCGTTGAGCTATCGGAAAACAAACTTATTAATTTAATTTTCAAAGGTACACCAGTAAAAATATTGGGAGTACAAATAAATCTCCGCCGTTTTTTATCAAAAATTGCGCATTTATTGTGAAAGAACAGTACCTTATATTTTATTCAAAGTATTGTCCATCGCTAGCCACTACTTTTTCCCATCTTTCTGGCAGCATACGGATACCGCGTCGGAAGAACGCTTCATCTTTTCCACGAATCGACCCAATTTTTGGTATCTTCATTGATGTGAAGTGCTGCTCAGACAGGCCGTGCGTCATCGATCGAAACAAGTGATAGTCAGAGGGAGCAATGTCTGGTGAATACGGCGGGTAGAGTAAAACTTCCCAATTGAGTGTTTCCAAGTAGGTTTTGACCGGCGCCGCAATATGTGGACGAGCATTATCATGCAGGAGAATAATTTTGTCGTGTCTGGAATAGTAGTGGGCGCGTTTTTCCTTGAGTGCTCGGCTCAATCTCATTAATTGTGTTTGGTAGAGAGCCCCAATAATGGTTTCGTTCGGTTTGAGCAACTCATAATACATACAACCAAGCAGATCCCACCAAATACACAACATGAGTTTTTTTCCATGAATATTCGGCTTGGCTGTCGATGTTGAAGCATGGCCACGTGGTCCCCATGATTTCCTCTTCTTTGGGTTATCGTAGTAGATCCATTTTTCATCATCAGTGACTATACGATGCAAAAAACTCTTTCGTTTATGCCTGGCAAGCAGCATTTCACATGTGCAAAATCGGCGTTCAACGTTTCTCGGCTTCAGTTCATATGGAACCCAATTTCCTTGCTTTTGATTGCAATTCCTTCATTGCAATTTCTTTCATTCCCAACGATTTCAAACGATGTGAGATTGCTTATTGAGTCACTCCTAATGTAAGTGCAAGTTCTTCTTGCGTTTGACACGAATCTTCCTCCAATAATGCTTCCAATTCCGCGTCTTCGTACACTTTCGGCCTTCCGCTACGTTCTTTGTCTTCGACGTCAAACTCACTGTTCTTAAACTTTTAAAACCATTCACGACAACTTCTCTCACTTAAAGCAGCCTCACCATATGCTTCTACAAGCAATCGATGCGCCTCAGCTGCAGATTTCTTCAAATTAAAGAAGTAAATCAAAAGTTCCCGCAAATGACGCTTATTCGGCTCAAAACTCGACATTTTTGCATGAAAAAAATTATGTGATACTGATACAAAATCGCTAATATTTCAAGGTTATGGTGTTGCCAGATGTCCAACCTTACGATATGACGTTTTACATCTGACAATTTCAACCATAACTTACTGATGGGACCATCTTTTGTCAAACGGCGGAGACTTATTTGTACTCCCAATAACATCGCTTAAGTTGGGGTATATATGCGATGCGCAACTTGTATCGATCTATTTCTTCGAGCGAGCTCAAGTTTCTCCCAAGTTTTCCTTACGGAATACATAAATTGCTCATAATGCCAATTCTTGTACAGCAAAACCCAGGTTATAAATTCAGAATGGTAGCTATGGTGATGGACCTCGGCACGTTTTCAATGTTCAACTACATTCATTTTGACATACGGGTAGTGGAGCCGCACAAGGACATACGGGTAGTGGAGCCGCCAGTTTTTCTATCTAGGCTTAAATCGTTCAAGAATTTTAACGATTACGACGCCATCATCCCTCTTATCATTAATTCCGATAAGAATAAGAATCCACTTCACTTCACCGAAAAAGTGTACACCCACAACAGGATTCAAGAAAACGCAAACATCAACACCTATATAACCCATGTCGAGGTCATTGATTCCGACAAATCGAGTCCTGTCATGTACAGCATTATAGCAGGAAATACTGATGATAGCTTTTCCATTGAAAGAGCAACGGGAAAAATTCGCGTGAATAAGAGATTGGATTACGAGCAGATCACCGAGTACAATCTGATCGTGAGAGCATTCGATGGCTTATTCAGTGATATAGCGCAGGTGGAGATTTTTGTCGAGAACGTAAACGACAATCCGCCAATCTTCGAAGATTTTGACAAAAATCCGACTATATTAGAAGAAAAATTAGTGCCTGGTAAGGTGTTGATGTAATTACTTCCGACATAATAAGTATAAGAAGATAAATGTTCTAAGCGAGCTTTTAATTGCTGTTTGTTTAGGTTGTATTACCACTGTGGTGGCTTACGATCCTGACATCGAAGATAGAAATGCCGATCAGCATATCGCGTACTTCATCGTTGAGAAAGCTCATCAACCTTTCTTCGAAATTGACAAAACTGGCTGTATGAAGCTGAAGAAGCCGCTGGATTATGACCCGCCGAATGGCTTTACGATATGGACTGTGAGTTTTCAATTGAATTTGTCACACATTTTACGAAATTATAATATCCTCTCATTCTAATTTCTGACCGTACACAGGTCATCGTGATGGCGAGAGACGAAGACGGTTCGTCCACGTCACTAGGGGAATCGGTGATCGTAAACATCACTCATTGACATAAACGATAACGCACCATTCCTTAATATGCCCATCCTTTAGTTGGAGAATAATCAATTAACTCGCAAGATAGCCTATCTTATAGCGCGCGATTACGATTCCGGGTATAATAGTCTACCATCATTATTCAGGTACTGGATCGACGATAGCGCGGACGATGAGATCAAATCCAAGTTTTACATTTCCGGGTGCATTTTGTACGCGCGAGAGAGATTTGATCGAGAGAACCGAATGATATACAATATACCTATCGCGATCACGGATGGCGCTACGCCGCCCATGACAGGTATTTCGAACGTCACTGTGATCATAGGCGACAGAAATGATAATCCCATGCAAAAGGATTCTGATATTGAGTTTTCTTATCTGAAAACTCCATAGATATAAAATGTTTAACGTAGGTAAGACGTTAATTTGTTTATTCTTTGATTAATCTCCATATAGTTACAATTCTGCAGATTGTATGTTCACGATTGTTAGCACGACTTATTATTATTCCGTTTCCAAATGCACACAGCTCACAAGTTTCGCTCGTGTAATCCATATAATTACAAATACGAGCATACGTACCACAGACATTTGATATGAGATCGTGCTTTTTTCCAAGCTTTCAACAGGTCGTTTTCGAAGTTCCAACAGTGTGAAGAGAGAAACGAAGCTTCATTGTACTTAAAATGACACGCGTAGTCTCATTCACCGCTAATCGACGAACGCCAACTACTCGACGAAAAAATTGACGAAAAAGCGTATTTTACAATACGCGATTATTTATCGACGTGATATGCTGTTACAAGTGGGCTCATTAATAGATAAAGTTTAAGGTTAATCGTGAATGACTGCTACACGAATGTTAATATGAATTCTCCTTACTTGCAGAAATGACGCGTATCTCGTACTAATAATAAGTACTCAGAATAAATTTCTATATCGTTGTAAGTCTTAGTACATTTACGGATTGAGATCTCTATAAGATGCGCCATTTAAATTGGGACAGAAATATGTTTCACTTTAAAAGTCATATATTAAAGAATACATAAAACTCTTACAAAAAATGGTTTACATATTTTATTTAAGAAACCCTTTCTGTGACCTTTTATTTAAAACCTTAGGCCACTTCGGCACTTTCAAAATCGAACTTTTTTTGGCTTAAAATGTTCTTTATAGTTGTTAATATTGTTGCGAGTGCGTCGCATCTGATGTCCGCGGGTTGCGAGGCAATATCTTTGACAACGGTTGCTAAGAGTGTGTTTCGGCTGTTTGATTATAACAGCCGTGGGAGAGAGTCTCTCGACAGCTTGCAAACTGTCTGGATGTGCATTTCGAATTGAGAGTCTTATATCGCGCTGTTATTACTTAATAATAAAGTTCCTCTTCGTTTTGTATTCAAGTGTCTTATTCCTTTCCGCGTCCGCGAGTGTAACATTTTGGGGGCTCGTCCGGGATACGACGATCCGACGGACCAATATCTGAGACACAAACGTAGTGAGACGCGAGTGAGTGATTCAGTGCAACGCTACGTTTCCTTCGAAATGACGACGGCACACTCCCCGGTGAGAACCCGCTCCCAGGCCGCAACGTCGATTCCGGCGGAGGGCACTTTGGAAGCCGTGCTGTTACAGCTACAGCAGTTGCGCGAGGAGCGGCGACAGGAGAGTCGGGAGCAGCAGCGTTTCCGCAACGAGATGGAGGCTCGTCTACAAGAGCGCGACGTAGCTCTGAGCTGCCTGGAGCAACGACTTTTACAGCTAAGTCCCTCCGAGAATGTTTCTTCGTGCGAGAGCGCGGGGGGCGTGATGCGTGAGTTACACGGGTCGCGTACGGAGGTGAGGGCGAGTGGGGACGGGCGAACGGCTTCCGCGTTAAAACTAAAACCGGATACTTTTGACGGGACGGCTCCGTGGCGTGAATATCTTTCTCAATTTTTATTAATCGCGAGTGCGAATCAATGGTCGGAAACGGAAAAAGCGGTTGTTCTGGCTTCCTGTCTCCGAGGAAAGGCGCGTGCTTTACTCGATTTGTGTGATGATGGGAACGACACTCTCACATTTGCGGATCTTAGATCGAAACTGGAGTTGCGTTTCGGTGAGGGTGAACTTGCGCAGAACTTTTACTCTCAGTTCACTAATCGGAAACAGTGTTCGGGAGAAGATTTCGCGTCGTTAGGCGCGGATTTGGAGCGCTTGTCACGAAAAGCGTATCCTGAGTGCTCGCTTGAGGTGCGTGAGAAGATCGCTTGTTCTCAATTTATTGCCGCTTTATCTGATGGTTTTGTTAAACGTACTCTTCAAGTGGAGGGGATAAGTTCGCTTCGTGTGGCAATTGAGCGTGCGAAAACTTTGAAATTAATAAATCAAAGCAGTTTTTTTGAAAGAAAAGTAGTAGCGTCAAATTTTTATGTCAATCGCAATATTGGCGGAGTTTCGAAACAAACACAGGGCACAGAGGGAACCGGAAAGGTCTTTGTTAAACGTGAAAAGGGAAGGGAGTGGAAGGCTAAGGAATGTTGGCAATGTGGAAGTTCTTCACATTTTCGAGCAGAATGCCCGGCTTTAATTAATGAAAGAAAAAGGGAAAACTAAGTTTTGTCGAATGGAACGGGGCTATTTCGACAAAAAGAGTAAAATCCTCGATTAATTCTAGTTTAAAACGCGTTAAAAATAGAGATACTTTTTGTTTTAATGGATTATTAGATGGAAAATGTTGTAAATTTAAAATAGATACAGGTTCGGATGTTTCTATTGTAAATAAGAATTTTTTTGAAACGACGGAGAAATTTTGTCCAGTTACTAACAATCGTTTAATTTATCCTTCAGGAGAAGTAGTTCCTGTTTATTATCAAGCAAAAATGAATGTTCAGTTAGGAAAAATTTGTGTAGATTTGTCCATGTTTGTTATTGACATGGAAGATGATTGTTTATTAGGAAATGATTTTTTATCTTTTACTAATTTAGAGTCTTGTTTTTATT